TTTGGGTGTGGGGCCAGAGAGAGAGAGTTGCCCCGTCAGTCCTCCTCCCAGGATATAACTCGATGACGAGCAAGTTTGCTTGAGGTGTGCGTGTTGCGACTTTGCAACCCTAGGCCCTCGATGCAGCTCTATATACAACTCAAGCCCAAGCTGACACATACAGCGAACAAGCAGCCTGAACGTCTTCACCCCAAAGGCCGGACGCTAAATGGCTTCAGTCAGCGCCTAGGATGTAAAGTTGGGTGCTTAGGGGCTTTGAGTTGCAGGGTGGTTCGCTAAACCCCTAAACCCCTAAAGGCCTTAAGGATTTCAGAGTTGAGGGTGTGAAGACAATTATCAAACACAGCCGGGGCTGAGACGGCAGGAACTGTTTCCACCGTCGTGCCGTTGATTCCCAGCATCTGCCAGAGCCGCTGAGAAGAATATAGGCTCTAGACTCAAAACTGTTCACTCCACGGTGTTAGGATTCAGGGCTTCAGGCCTTGAGCTGCAGGAGTATGAGCAAGCGAAGCTGGACAGCTTGCAAGCACGTGCTGAGACCGTACGGTGTCATCACGACTAGACCGACATTGATCGTTATCATAGAAACGACAAGACTCCGAGACGCTTATATATCTGGCAGGAGCTACTTGAACAGCATCTTGACCAAGGAGAACTTGCTCCGTAGGAAGGCTGATGATGATGATGATGATCGTCATGGCCATCATCATCGTCATCATCATGATCATCATTCCGTCATCGTCATGTTCACCAGTATTACCATCGTAACACATCACTTATTCATTGTTATCATCACCACCATTGACCTCGCCACGACCTCTACCATCACTCAAACAGTCTCAGCCACACAGTGTCCGACACAACGGGCGATGCCTCTGGCGGCATGCACAACGGCACCTGCAGGCTATTGTCGGAGTTTTAGGTACGGCCTTAAGTCAATGTAGGGTTGGGGCTGTGAATTAGGTGATGAGGTTTATAGGAATTGAAATCAACAATCCAGTTGTATGACAACTTGCCAGCTATCCCCGTGCTAGGTATGCGCTCGCAGGCCATGTCCCCGGCGCAGCAAATCCACTGATCCTGACCGTCCTTCAAATTAGCCGATGAATATTCCGAAGCGCCCAAAATCCTCTGACCATGCTTTGCAACTGCTATACAACTGCCTATGGGAATATCTCAGATCCGAGTGTAGAGAGGATCGTAACTGCCACTGATGCTCCTGTATGTAGGGAGCTCTTCCCGGCCGCAACATCATATAAACAAAACCGACAAATTCGGGATGTCCGACAACACTCTGGTTCAGCAAACGAAGTAGGGGCATCCCACTCCTAAACAAATGTTTGGATGGGATTTGGGGTTCTTGACTAAGGACCAGACCCCAAACACGGGGTTCATAGGTCTGGGGTTGAACCCCCCCCCAACCAGCACGGTACACCCCAAACCCCCCAAGTAGTCAAGAAACCTCGAACCCACAAGTGCAACCCCAAGCTATACAGCCCAAACAACCCGAGAGTCCAAGAATCAGCGGTCTCACGCCCACCCTGACCAGATGTTGGAAGACCGCGCCCCACAACAAGGATCCCTAGTCTTTTCTTATTTGGTGCCTGAGGCCGAAGATGTAGAGGAAAAGAGGGATGCCCAAAGTGTCACCCCAGATCACAGTGCACCCTGAAACCACCAAACCCCAAAACATTTAAAAAGTCTGAAACCCTAAAACACTTACTTAAGCGTCTAAACCTTCAAAGCCTGAAGCCATAGGCCCTAAAGCCAAACGCGCGTCGCCTCCACCCAGCGCTGAGCTTCGCAGCGGTACTGGAACAGCGGCTGCCTGGTGACCGGTTTTCTGGAACCCTGACAAAAGAACAAACAACGAAATCTACACACGTGTAGGTACGCGTGTGTGTGTGTGTGTATGTATGTGTGCATGCATGTGTGCATGCATGTATGTATGTATATATATATATGTGTGTGTGTATGTAGATATATATATATATAATATGTGTGTGTGTGTTGAAGGGGTTGGTAAAGGTTTCTAGAAAAAAATTCTAAACAAGCATCAACCACAAGGCTTGAGAACCATAATGACATGAAATATAGTGCTTGACTAGCGGTTTCCCCGAACTGGTCCTCTGGGCGCACTCTCGCAACAACCATACTCTAAGCCCCAAACCCGATTTTGGGCACAGACTCGGACATCCTCAGGGCAGGGCCATGGCGGCTGGCATTCACCTGACGAGCTGGGGTAGGCCTCTGGGCTTCTCATACACCGGGGTAAACAAGCAACTGTAGAACTCGCGTAGCTCCAACTTCTGCAAACCCGTGCAGAAGCTACCGCAAATATTTCTCACGAGATGCAGAGCTTCGGGGTCCGGAACATATTAGTGGTTGCTATGATCGCTCTCGCACAAGTGACGATGGCTGCTGCTAGGTGTGATGACCGCAGTGGTCATTATGATTGACTTTACATGTTGCCACCCTTCCATGATTCCATTACTACCTGCTGTCGTGAGCATTGTTGCCACCACCGCTCATCTTGTCTGCTCACTTCAACCATTTTGGTCTTCAACTTGAAGGCCAAATGCAAAATCCCGACGGGAGAGTGAGATCCCCCTAAAAGCAAAAGTCTTATCTTCCAAAGCCAAACCAAAAGAAACCCTTTGAAAGCAGAACCCACTAGCCCTAAACCCTAGACCCTAAATCCTGCCCGCAAACCTGAATCCGCAAAGCTCCATCCAGAAGGCCCTTGCATTTTAGGGGACCCTTATATAGTACCCTAAATCGTAGGATCCTTATTATAAGGGACCCTAAATGGTAGGCTGAACCCCCCCTCCGAGCCTGGACAAGTTCCGCCCGATGGAAGTCCACGGCAGGCCTACCCAGGTCCTACAACCAAACCCCCAAGGCCCTAAACCCCACTGACCCCAGGCTACGATTGAAACCCAAAGACCCTAACCCCTAAATACCACCTAGACCCCTCTAAAGGCCCCAAAACACCCCAATTCAACTCCCCTTGTAAAAGCCCCTGGCATGAACCCAAACCGTGCTTTCGGGTTCGAGAATGGTGACCAGTCTGTTTCTGCGAGCCTCAGGGTTCTGGGAGTGGCTCAGACTTCGAGAGGTATATAGGGCTTCGAAAGGGTTTCACGATCTAGGACCACCTTATGATTTTGTCGGCGTAGGGACTGTTTGGGGTGTTGAGTTTTTTGTTGGGCGAACATCGGCTAGTGCTTGTTGCAAGTTTCTGGTCGACTGTGTTCATGAGTCTCCAGCTTACCTTGCCGAGGTGGCGCCTGCTCTATCGCAGCAAGAGTGTGTAGGGTTACAACCTCGCCGCCGCATATCAGGCGAAATCATGGAAGGAGAACCTGGTGAGAGAGACGCAAACACATGCATGCATACATGCATACATTGCAAATGCATACATGCATGCGCACAGCTGTGCATTAACTAGTGCTGCTGCTGCAAGCACCTCTGCTCGTGCCGGCAATAACATGCTGCTAGTACAAGCTAGCCAACGAATCAGCAAACCATGAGTCTATAAGCCTAATGGATAACAAATAACAGAAGACGCAAACAGTGTTAGGGTCTGGTACTTGTGTCTTCGTTTGCTCTTCCATTTAGATGCAGGTGCCTTGCAAGTAGCCCAACTTGAAGACCCATCAAAAAACCCTTTCCGAACCTCATCCACTAATCCCTGAAACCCCCAAAACCCTGTAAACCTCAATGGTCAAAAACTCCGAATACTCCACTAACCCNNCCCCCCCCCCCCCCCCCGAACCCACAAACGAAAACCCTAAGAAACAACAACCACTGTACAATACCCTATACTATACCAATCCAGTCTCACCCTGTTAGGCCGAAAACTGCCAGCAAGACGCAGGAAGCCCAAAATCCCCAAGCCCTGAGAGCCTCGGGTGTCACAGCATTGCTCAGCGCTGGTGGCTCTCCGCAGGGCCCAGGGGTGCCTCTTTTGTTTTCATATTTTCCACCGATAGCCGTGTTTCTGTATATTCATTTAGAGGCTTGTTGTCAACTTATAGTCGCTGCTGTTTTCACAATGTTATTGTCTCTTGTAACCGCTGTTGCTTCTGCTTACTCCACCATGAACATCAACTACATCGTCACGAATGCTAATTAACATGCCAGGTTTATGAATCACAATGCCATGGTGGTCACTAACTTGTAGGGCTTTCGTTTCTGGAGCGGGGGTTGACGATTCAGGCTTCGAGGAATGCCTGATCCGGCTGTCGTATGGAAGCCGCAAATACTTCCTGGCCGGCTCTGGGTGTTCATGAAACTGCACGGCAGCTATGTCCGAATGACAAAGGAACATCATCTGTTGGGCCGTGGGCCCTAAACCCTCAGCCCCTAAATCTCAACCCTAACCTCTGGAAGCTCCAGAGAGACGTTGGAGGTTCGAACGCAGCTTAAGTTTTCAAGAAGTTGGCGCTGCGCTGCAAGCTGCTGCAGTGTGTGTAGGGTTTGAAGCAGGCTTAGCTCGTGTATCTTGAGGGAAGCTCGTCCCACTTGGGAGTTGGGGTTGTGAATTGATACGCTAGGCCGGCTATCCTCCTTCGTCTGGATGCTGCGGCTTGTACCGTGTGACGGATTTGGAACCTGAAGCCCTTTTCTGCAGGCTTTCGGAGCGAGGCCCAAGAGTTAATCCCTTAACTCCTAAGTCAAAGACAAGGAGACGCTAGACCCTTTTGCGTTCGTTGCGCGCATGTGCAGCAGCCTTTTGGGCTGATCCGGTGCGTTGTTCGCATCTGCGGTGCATTGCGCAAAATTGAGCCCGACCGATGGCACCTCGGCCTGCGGGTTGCAGGAGTGCTTCAGGAACGCGCAAGGACTTGAGGCTTTAAGCCGTCGAAACATAAAGTCCAAGGCCGCGCTGCTGGGGTCTCATTCTGGTGTTAAACTTTGCAGGCTTGTCCGCCGCATGAAAATGAGGTCACCCCCCTCACCCCCACCCCCGACCACCTATCCCCCATAATAGAGCTCTAAGGGGGTTGGGAAGGTTCTGGGGGAGGGAGGGGGTGAGCAAAAACTGTCCGGCTCATTCGGCTCAGATGAGATGTGCGCTGGCGATGAAGATGAACAACGAAGACGATGCCGTGGTTCATGCCTCAGGGCGGTTTAGGGTGTAGGGTTTAGGGTTTGTGGTTTAGGGTTTGTTTCCTTCAGGGTTTAGGGTTTAGAGTTTGGGGGTCAGGACTGAAACGCCAAACAAACCTCGCATCAGCTGATGGTCCAGAGGTCGCAACCCCTGCCCACCAACATCCCGGCCCCATGGACTCTGAAGGTTGTACCTCTAGAAGGGCCTTCAATGTGCCCCTACCCCCACTGTTCCCTGAAGGGTCCCCGAAACCTTCCTGGAAGGGAACCCAAAAAACCCCAATATCACCCAAACCAGGTGAAGCCTGAAGCTCCTGATGTCAGTCCGCTAGCACTTGTGGTTGTGGTGCTGGCGTTTCCTGCGGATCCGCTATCACTTGTAGTTGGGGTGGTTGCGTCTCCTTGGGATCCGCTCCCGTCTGAGGTTGTGGTGGTTGTGGTGATTGTGGTGGTTGTTGTAGTTGTGGTGGTTGTGGTGGTTGTTGTAGTTGTCGTGGTTGTGGTGGTTGTTGTGGTTGTGGTGGTCGTAGGCGTTACACATAGGGTGGAATTGACGACATTCATGTAGTAGGCGTCGCTGGCGGTCGGGCTGTCCGCAGACGGGTTGGAGATGCACGTGTTCAGCTCCACTGACGCGATGTCTTGCTGTTGTTGACCGCCGCCTCCATAGGTGTCCTTGGTATCTGACAAGGCCGTGCACTGCGCGTCATTGGCGATGTACGCCTGGGTGAAGCCATCCTCACAAATGACCATGCCGTAGACGGTGTCTCCATTCATGGGGTTCGTCCATGAGTAACAACTCTCACTGTAGAGCGGGATCTTCCACCCCGTGTCTGAGGTATAGGTGTTGCAGCCAGCATCGCTGTAGAATTGCTTAACATAGTAGTGCTCATGCGCGAAGACCACGGGGGCGTCGAAGAAGCACATGGCCCAAAGGATGATGCTCTCGTCCCGCACATGCTGGGCAGACGACTCCGGGCAGAAGATTCAAGCAAGCACGTTGAGCCGGACAGACTACGGATAAGCACCTGTCTCCTTTGCACATCCCTGTGCCTGGCAATGCAAGCATCATGCCAGGAAGCCAGTACTGACCCGGTCGTTCTCTGAAAACAGATTCGGAGTGGCGTGAGGTCCTTCAACCGTAACCCTGACTTCAACTCCGACTTCGAAACCGGGATATGTGTGTTGAGGCTCTTTTGGCAAAGGCGCCTTGAATCTCTGGGTGAAATGATTCATTGGGCTGTCTTCGAACGCGGGCACAGCGAAATATTCAAACTAAAGATCGCTAGAACCCCAGTGGTCCCTAAACCATACGCAAGGCCTAAACCCCTTAAACCTTGCGTAATTCGCAAGTGCCTTAAACCCCGATACCTAAAACATTTCTGCCGACCAAAGGACAGTCTGGCGCGGCAGCACCAGGGATGGGTGTCCACTGCCTGACCATGTGGGAACTGAAACCCGATCACAAAAGGAAGGGTTTAGCCAGGAAGCCACACTTACGTGAGCATCGCCAAAATGACCTTCAAAGACCTTCACATTGCAATAAACCGCAGATCTCGCACTGTAACAAGCCCTCCGCCTGGGGATTGTTGCAATCGTGCACCATGGCAACACTCCAGCAATTCTGAAGCAGTACGTATAAGTATCTTGGGAGCCCTGACATCCAAATAACAAACCTGCAAAAGCCCTACAATGACAATGACCTTATAAGGACGAGCAGGAGCGGCCCGTTCTCTGAGCATTGATATCCACTTTGGCTCAAGTAGCCCGCTGGACAGGCCAGCGGACCTTGACGATTCAGATCTCTGATGGACTTTGGGTAGTAGAGTGTAGAGTTTCGGGGTCCATCTATTCTATTTCTTCCCATGGCCTCAGGCATTGAACCTTGAGCCCACAAACCTGAGATCCTACACCCGAAATCCTAAAGAAAAGACTCTGAACCTCAACTTGTGACAACCGAACCCCAGCGCCTCTGAGCTCCCAGTTTCGGGCTTTCGGGGTGTTTCGACTGTTGGGTTCCGGCTTGCAGGGTTGGGGTTTCGGCATTGTTGGCTGCGTAAAGCTCTTCTGGCGTTGGTTTGGTTGCCGTCGATACCCTGCACGTAGCATTGCGGTGAATTTGGCTGCGCTCATATGACTGTATTGTTCCCCTTGTTGCTGATGTTTCAGGAAGTGCATAGTTCGCGTGGTCACTGTACAAATCATGTTTCCTTTCATAGCTCTTCTGAGCTACTGGTCATTGCTTGATATTATGACCACATCCGCTGCTGAACGCCCTAAGCCTAAGCCATTACACACCCTGAACTCGAAACTCTTAAGCACGTAAAACCGTCAAGCCGTTAAAACCTTCAGCCGAGGGCCAGACACGTAGAGCCGACAGCGCGGTCCACGCACTCAGTCGCATACCCTTGCAGATCTTGGGGCTTAGGTGGGGCTGATAAAACCCTAAACCCTGTAAACCCTAAACCCTCCATTTTAGGGTTTTGGTGGGGCTTATGGTTGAGGGTTCCAGGATTCATGGGCTGAAGGCATACGGGTTCGGCTCCAGAATAAAAAGGCTTGGGGCCTAAGTAAAGAAATATTTTGAAGTGTAGCGAAATTGAGATTTCAAAAAGATGGGTTGGGTGTCTTTTCATGTCCGGGTCTGCTGGGGTCCCAATATGGCTCTGGCGGTGAAGATGTCCTTTCGGCTTTTTGGCTGCAGCTTACGACAGGCCTAGCTCGGTACTATTGCCAATCTTATTTAGTTCATACAGTACCGGCGCTTGAAGTTCCTCCTCTTAATTGCCTGTCATTATCGATATTCTGAGTACTACTCAAGCCCGCCAGGAGCCACCGGATGCCGAAACGATTCGATGGGCTCGTAACGTTAACCGAATTATTCCACGCCTGTTTTTCCAGGGTACGTCTGCTCCATGGGCTCCATGATGACTGGTCTCTACACATTGGCTTCACTGGCGGAGCCTCTCGACCCCTGACTTCCCGTTGTTCAAGCAAATCCAATCCAGCGGCCTGCTCCGAATGGCCGACTTTATGCAGATGAGGATGATGATGATGATGATGGTGGTGGCTAGTACTCACATTATTCTTATTGTCATTGCGATTATGAATACTGTTGCCATTCTTATGATTTTTTTGTCAATGTTGCTATCCCGGCCAGTATTCTGATGATTATTCTTGTGATTCGTCTTGTCTGACATCAACCTCGGGCCTGAAGTGTTTGGAGACATTGGGGGGCACAGCTGCTCCGCGCAACGGACCTGTTGCCAAAATGAGGGCAGCTTAAGAAGTTTAAGCTTTGGGGTTTGGGGGTTTAGGATTCCGAGGACAGCTTAAGAAGCTTCGGGTTTGGGGTTTCGGGGCTTAGGATCTAGTGTGGGGTAGCAGGATACACTCTCCTTTGACGGACAACCATACGAAATCAAGCTATAGCGCATCAAGGACCCTGCCTTCTTTCTGACCCTGAAGCCCTAACCTTCTAGGTGATGCAATTTCCATAGGTTACTGGCATCTCTTCCTGGGCGTCCGGTGGACCTTTGGAATCGGGGTTTTGGAATCAGGCTACTGAGGCAGGGTTTAGATCGCGCTTGGAGATGCACAAACTTAAGAGTAACTGAACCGTGAAATGACAGCGAAAACGAAGGAGTTGAAGCCCAAGAGCCAAATTCCCGAATCCTGTGCAATAGCGATACTAGGCATGCACCTGTTGTTCCCAGCAACCTCCCCACCCTACGCCTCCACAGCATCCGCGAAGGGCTCGGGCCTTGTCTTTTACAAGGACTATAGGAAGAAGGAATTGGGGGAATTGGGGGCCTTCGGGCTTGGGGTTTGGGCCTTGGGGCCTGTGTTCGATTAGCAAGCACCGTACCAGTCAGAACTAATCCAAAACACTCAGAGTCCCATTGCACGTTGAACTTTGCATCCTTCCTTCCATACACTGTGCCTATGCTAACGAGACAAACCGTGATCATTCGCGCCCAACCACCGCGATCCCCGAACCGACAAGCCCCCTAGCCCAAGAGAGCTCCGAATCAATCCAATCCCGAACACCTCAACCGAAACCAGAACGATCCTGCTGCACTCTACACCACAGCGATTTGAGTCCCCCTAAAAACACACAATCAGGCAACATCTATCTGAACAGTTCCCTTGGTTATAGGCACTACCGGAAAGTGTAAGGCACGATGATTCTCCTTGCGATACGAGCCCTGCGCCTGACACACTGAAACGCCTACTCCTCTTTTGAACCCTCCAAGTTTTCATAGGGTCTAGGGTTTAGGGTTTGGGATGCCTCCACGCGCCGTCTGCGCCGCAGCGGAATCGGCCCGTCAGAGTGCTCCCTGGTGGGCACGCTACGGCCTCGGGGAGGCTTTGGAGATGCATGAAACCCTACACCCCTAAACCCTGAAAACCCTAAACCCTTTAATAAAAGCCTTAGGAGTTTGGGATTTCTGGGTTTCGAGGGTTGTGCGGCTGAGGTTTTGCAAGTCAGACTTCGAGGGTTTTTAGGGTTTCGTGTAGGTTTGGAGGTAGTTGGGCTTGGACTTCAGGTTTGTTCAGGTTTGGGTGTTCCAAACCCTCAAAAAACCAACTCCAGCAAGTCCTAGAGTCAGAACCCCGCCCCAAACTGTTCAGAAAAAACTTTCCCGGATGTGGGAGTGAAGGGCATAAGACATAAGGGCAGCTGAGGGTGTAGGGTTATTGGTCAGGCTAAGGCCAGGCTTGGAAGAACCACCACGGGACTTACGCGAATGGGAGAGAATTAATCAAGCCACCCTAAACATCAAGTCATGCTGGCAAACCCTTTTTTCGCGGTGTGGGATCATAGCTTTCGCACTGGCATAACATATGCCAAGTCGAAGTAGCTGTAGCTATGGCAACAAAAAATTACAAGACAGACATGTCTTGCAGCATGCCATGTGCAACCCAGCATGGGCGCGCTCTGCCTCCCAGCCGCAGGCGACCCATGCTGCTGTGTACCGCTAGCTCCGAAGCTGTCTCAAAATACGTACATGGACGCGTGGGTCCACAGTTTCACTGCCAAGGGTCCCTGACGCGCGAGGCGTCGCTCCGCCTAGCTTTCTTTCGCAGCACCTTGTCTGTACTGTATATGCTTTTCCAGCATCTGCATACAACTCCATGCCTAAATCCAGCATCTCCTTTGATAATTGCCAAAATCGAACCTTTGGCGAAGTCGCGGAGAGAAGTCTCCGTTGGTAAGGCTGTCTGCTTCGACATTTTGTGCTCGCGGTAGCCAGTCCAGCCTCAGATCCAAGTCATCTTTCATGCATCAACACTGCCGAAAGCTCCATCAGAAAAGCCGACAGGGGAAACTTCGTGGTCATGAGACGGCTAACCACATGTGTGTTGCCCAGGTTGTCAGTTCCGGCCGAGATCGCAATCGTTCCCTTCGATCTCGCACGTCTCAGGCTTGAAGAGTATCACTCCAATCAACGTCGCGAAGAGCTCCAAGGTAGCAATGGCTCTGAACGGTTCTCCACACAAATGCCCAAGGAACCTTCTGCCTTGTCAACCTCACGCTGAACCATCTGCATTCACGCGTTGCCCAGAGACTCCGAGAAGCTCCATTTTGCAGCTGCCAGCTCCAAAATGGAGCTTCTGTGTTTTAGAAGCTCGTTTTGGAAGCTCCATTTTGAAGCTGGCAGCTCCGTTTTGAGACTGGCAGCTTCGTTTTGGAGCTTCTAGCAAGGCGCTGCCAGCTCCATTTTGAAGCTTCTAGCTCAAAACCGAGCTTCTAGGATTTTGAGGATTTTGAGGTTTCGACTCTTCAAAACGAGCTTCTAGGAATTTCAAGAAGCGCTTCTAGGAAGCTTATTTTGGAAGCTCCATTTTGGAGCTTCTAGAAGCTCGTTTTGGATTTATACATTCATGCTTACATATAATTCTTACACCACCATAATGTGTGC